ACTAGATACAGATTTACAGTATTAACTAGTTTATAATCAAAGTAACCATGTTGTTGGGCTAATTCTATGTATACATCGTTATAAAATTACACCTGCAAGAATCTAGCATTAGAGCATCATTTTAATTTTTTATAAGATGTTTGACCTCGATTAAAATTTGCATGATAAATTCAGTTATTCGAGTCGCAAGTTAATGAGTTCACGACAATTAAGGTCGATTGATTTAAGGTTAGAGTTAACTAAATGATATCGATATCCAATGTTTTGAGAATCGAAGATAGAAATAAATAATTTAAGATTAATGGCTAACTATTACTAGGCAAAGAATTAAATCATAGCAGAGTCAATGTTTAATATCGTTAAAAACTATTATTATTCGTTACTGTACTGTATTACATACGCAAAAAAAGATTCTATTCCTACTAATCTATGCAAGTTCCGAGATTACAATTGTAGCTGGTGAGAATCGATTCTCAAAATTTTTGAGATAACTATTGAGAATCGATTCTCTATAAGGTTTGAAAGTTTTACTAAGCTAATTCAAAATCTGTGCACAGCTTAAATTTTACTGTTAATTATGAATATTTTTTGTTCACAGTAAAAAAAAAAAAAAAAAAAAAAAAATACTGTAATTGTGTTCCGACTATATGGTTAAATTATTTTAATCAATAGTTAAATCTGGAATTTCTAAATTATCTTATCGGTGGCTGTGTTTATTTAGAAGGATCGTGATAAAGTTAAATCATTTCATAAGATTATCTCATAAACTTATTATTTTTTAATTATAACTAAGGTTGTGTACTATATGTGAACTTTTTGATTTTATACAATATAGGTGACATCAATAATGAACAGTAAAAAAATTTAAACAGTGCTCCAAAAAACAGGCTTATTGTACACCCTAGTGAAGACTGGAGAATGCTCATATGTCATATTCGAGAATATCACATTTGTATCACGAGAGATAAAATCGAAGTGATATGATATTCCCAAGGAAGTCGCAAATCACCTCGACTTTATTACATCGGTGATACCAAAATATGATTTTCTCGAAGATATCTTTATCCCAAGTAATGTGCTTGGCTATAAGTTTTCACTACGGTGTACAATAAACCTGATTAAGCGGAACACTAGTCACAAGAACTCTGAAAACACTAATTTCGAAAACTGGGTGACTCCATTGATAAAATATTATGATTTTGGGAAGTGTCAAAGATATCCAAACTTTTAATGATACTTTTAAATCATTCTGTCATTAATAAACTTAAACCAAAAATGAAAAATTTTTCTCAAATTTTCTTTTTTTCTGTTTTATTCATCTTTATAAGAGCATCTTTGAATTTATTTTTTTTTTAACCTTTTCGGCAAGTCATGCCAATACTTTATTTGCAATAAATTTTGTGCTCGACAAAAATATTAGA